CCATGAGTCACTTAAGCTTTCTTGATAACTTTATAAAACCCTTTCAAATGTGGTGTTCTCAGCATGTCTCTCTAGTCTAAAAAAGTTGCTATAATAATACAACTACAGTTCTCAGATGCTTTATTTCTGCTTAATGATATATGTGCATGTCATGTGGCTGTGTGTAGATCATATGAATATATTAGGAATTAAAACCCAGAATTTGTATTTCATGGACCACAGTAAAATTCAACAAAGTTACATTTAGATGCAAGGAGAAAAGAACAACATGTGGCTTGAATTTCTCTTAAAATACACAGGGGATAGTAAAAGGAGAAAAGTGCTTGGAACAGAGTGTATCTGGAGTTTTGCCAAACTCATACCGTTTAAACAATGGTTTAAGGCTGATTTCAAACCCCAAGCAGACCTTTTAAACTCCCCCAAAGGGTATGTCTGAGGTAGCATTCAAGTTCAGAAAGACAATGAAAATACTCTGAATGAGCAACATGAGAATGCTGGATTTGAAGCAACTGTCTTGCCCTCCTGAATTCAAGGACTTCCCACCTGCACTTAGATCCCCATTCTTCCCTTAAGCCCACAAAGAGTGTGTCCTTGATTTTTGTACTAGCTTCTTTAGTTTCCCATTTTCAGCTCCATCCTCATCCTGCCCCTGAGCCTCCATGCAGATCACAGATCCACAGTCTGATTATTACTAATGCCAGCCGGGCCTGTGCACTCGAGATCTATCCTTTCTTCCTATTCCACAGTTCGGTACCATGAGGAATAAGAATTCTTAGCCAATGGAGGCTCAAGAACTTTCGCTCTCGCTGTAATTGACAAGGATCTGTATATTATTCTGTGCATTCAGAAATGGCACTTTTGCCAGGTAGTGGACGTTGTGAGGGGAATCGGTGGCTTTGGTGATCCATGCCTCCTCCTCTAAGGCGTTCTATTTCCATACTTGTCTGGAGTTCCTTATGCTAGTGCCAGGCAGGCAGAGGATACCTATGAGTCCCAGGACATGTGTTGATCAACCTTCCAAGCCCCCAGATATTCCAGATGAATTTGGAGTTCAGCAGTGCCACTTCCAGCTAACTGGCTCAGATATTCACGAAGGCAACTGTCTTCCTCCCTGGCTGGACCAACGCCAGTCTACTTAAAGAGATAATTGACCACAAGCCAGCCTGGCTGACAGGCTTCCTAAGTGCCAGATGCCAGCAGTGCCAATTCCAGCCCTTGCAGGAGGGCCTGTTCTTGTGACCATAGCTAATGTAGCTTTACCGTCCCTTTGCCTTTAGCTCTCTTAGTTCCCAGGGAAATTAAACCAAATAAATCGTTATGAGTTGTTTTCTTCCTGCCTTTATTTTAAGGACGTGAACACTAGACCCCCATTCTCCTCCTAGGTTCTCCTTCTTCCTCTGGGTTCTAGTCATTTAGTTAGGTAAGATACCAGCCAAGCAATGACAGCCTTTCCTATTGTCCAGGCAACCTGGAGTGTCACTCTATGTTACCTTCACTAGTACTTTGCTTATCGAGAGTGATTTTTTAATTATCTTCATGAGTTGTGATGGTCATAAATTTATAAATGCTTCAACTTCCATCTCACTTATATCCAGAACTAACTTCCCCTTTAGGGGCTAGAGGGCAAACACTTGTGAGATCAGATAGGACCATATACAAGTCGAGCGGGCTACCAAATGCTTGCTATTAACTTACTGTTCTCATCACTAGCTTTAGTGGTGCTGCAAAAACTTGGATTACTGCTAGGGCAATACTTTGTTAATGGCTTGATTCCTGGCAACACTTTTCAAATCAGCACTGCAGTCTAGCTCTGGTGTCTTTGGGTGTGTTTGGGGCACATGGGTATAAAGATCTGCTCCTGTGAGGAGCAGTGGGGGCGGCCACTGGGGTTCTCTCTGTGCTGTCAAGAGTGTTCCTTTCCTGTCAGGTTCCACGCTCTGCCTGGGCAGTGGGTGCCTGTGGGGATGAAACCCTTCCCAGTTCAGTTACAATTCAATGGCAACCAGATACCCTTTCAGCTGAGAGTTTTCCCGGCAGTTGAAGGCTCTAATTGGGGGTCTTCGTTGGGATCAGAGATTTGGCAGAAAAGCCTCCTTCTCCTTTGCTTATTTTCACATTCTTCAGTCTCCAGGCACCGCTTCCTTTGGGTATCAGGGTCCCTTCCTGAATGAAAGCTTGCTTCTGGAATCATCTCTACGCTTCCTTTGCCTTCCCATCTGCCCCCGCCCCGCCCCATACTAAACCATTTGCCCCACTGGGGTTCGGAGGTCTCCACAGCAAGGGGTGGAAGGATCTTGGGGGAAAGATGAGGGTCTATTACTCATCTTTCCCCAGAGACTTCACTCTTCGGGCAAGAATCAGGCCAGTTCACTGGGCGCAGACCTACACTTCGCGCCACGGCCCTCTCCCGGAAGTGGAACGTGGGCACAACTAAAAAGCACCCGCGCATTCTGGCAGGTGGGGGAAAGGACAGCGACTCCCGGGGCCTAATGATTCCTTCTTAGGGCCTACTGTCGCGTGATCCCTAAACTAGCGACCTGGTCAGGGCTTCAGGCATCAGCTCACTCTAAGGTGGACAGAGAAACCAGACTCCAAACTCTCCAACCCCCACATCAGTGTCTTCTCCCTTCCTTTCCCTTCTTTCAACAGCCTCGGACAGGGGGAGGGAAAATCTCTGCAGGAACTTGCAGAGTCTAAAAGCTGAAAGAAATAACATGCGCTGCAACACCGAGCCCTCAAAAAGTCAGTGACCTAGCTGAGACGCGTCTCCCAGGAGACGGCAGATTTCGCAGCGGGCTGTAAGGAGCCTTGTAAATAAGGGCTGCACATAGGCTCCTGTTTTAAAGATGTAACCCAAATCTCTCCAGCGATATTACTGTGGCAGGTCACCTTTTTGGCTTTCACTTTCTTCTGCTGGAAAATCGGAGGGGACTCTTTGGGCTTGGCTGGGCAGGGGAAAGCTGGTTCAAAGTGGAGCTTTGCTGGAGGCAGCAGGGAGGAGGCCCACCCGTTCCCCGCACCCGGCAGGGGCCCCGCTGCTAGTAGCTCTGCACCGAGCCACACGCTGCACTCTGCCACCAGCGCGGGCAGCGGGGCGCGGGTTCTCACACACAGCGTTCTGTGGCTCGCGCCCTGGGCTGTGATCATCGCGGAGGCCGTGCTCCAGGAGCGCGTCCCGCGCGGTGCGCAACAGGTCTTGGAGAGAAGTGGCGGAAGCTGCGCGCCTACTGATTGCGGGCCTCGGTGACAGGGCCAGTGTCCCGGTGCCAACTTTGCTGCTCCTCCCGGTCCAACCCCGCAGATTTAAAGGAGAGCCGTTGGCACCGAGTCCCCAGCTGCGGCCTGCCCTTGAGGATAGGGTTGGCCAGTGGTGGTGACAGAAAACCGTGTGTTTCGGCTATTTGCTAATTCAGTCTGTAGCGTGCTCAGTTAGGAAACTAGCGTGATGAAAATAGGTAAAGGAAATACAACCAGTGGCTAAAAGGAGCAATGGAAAACACCTGTCACTAGGAGCAGCTCACCTGTGAACCTGCTCTTTGAAGTTCAGAAGTTCGGAAATAAAGGAGAGGGTGAGAATTTTCAAATCCCTGGCCCACCAGTGGGCACTGAAGCCGTGGCCTCGAACCTGGAGAAGCTGAACACCTTCACACGGACACCGGTACGTGCAGAGAGAAGCTTTAATGGACAACATCGCGTACAACATCGGCAGACAGGAACGAAGTCACAACCCGAACGCGGGGGCACACAGGCCAGAAAGGGCAAAGCTGATCCCTCTCTACACCTCCCCCTTCGTTCCTAGAAGTTTGTGCCAAATAAAGTGCTATTCCCAGGGCTCGAAATGAGGGAAGGGCGACAAGGCAAATTGCTTTTCCATTCACAAACTGAAACTGAACAATTTGCTTGAAAGACAGGCGCGCCCCAGAAGCCTACGCAACACCACACCAAGCGCAGCGCGGCGGTGGAAGGCGGCGGGCCCTCCTCCCATCTCTTCGGAGGAGCCTGGAAGGGAACGGCCGCTGAACGCAAGGCTATGGGGTGATGTGACAGGGTTTTCTTGCGTCCGTGAGTTAGGGCGGAAAATCCTGCGGACAGAAGTGACTTTTCCCCCTTACACTTCCAAAGGGAACGGATCGTGGGAATTCAGTGAATAGCTGGGTTCCTTAACACAAGCTCTCACACCATTGATACACAAGCGATTTGCAGGTGGAAAGCCTCTTTTACTCTTTCTTTGGTTGTGTTTCCACGAGCTTTACTTTTGGAATCTGGAGCTTTGCTTTTTAAGCCGCTGCCGTTCTCTTTTGTGTAAACTAATTGCTTTAGCGGCTCCTCGCATGCTCTCGACCCGAAGGTCAGACCCAAGAGACGTAACTTTCCCAGAGACGTTTCATTGGCTCCCACTCCCCTAAACGCCTCAGAACGACTTTATTCGTGACACTGTGTCCGCCCCATTTAGCTGACCAGAAAAACAACCGTATCAAACGCACCTTTTCTTCTTTCTTTACTACAACGAGATTTCCTCAGTGAATGGATATGCACTAGAGACGGCTGCCGGGGCAGGCGCCCAGCGGACAGGGAACGTTCGTGGGCGAGATCCGACCCAGCGTCACTGCTGGGTTTCTCCCGGGGAGGGTTAGCGTCCTATTGTTGCTCCCAGTAATAGGGTCAGAATCCATTTCCATTGTGCCAGCGAATGAGGCTTCCCCAACCTCCTTTGCGCCCTCCGCCTATAATTTATTGATTATAATAATTATAATAGAAACTCTTACCTGAAAAGGCTTTCATTAATCTGATTGTACAACTTAGTATAAACATAGACACCCGGGGTGCACTTTTCCAGCGGTCACCAGTGAAGAACGAACTTTTCGGATCTGCTTGTCCATCTGACACCTTCCTTCTGCGCCCCGACTGGGGCTCCCGGCTGTGCCTGGCCCCCCTCGGCGCCCTGTTCCTCTCCGCGGTCGGTTCAGCCCCGCGCCCGGCGTCTCCACCCTCCCGGGACCCTAGGAGTGCACCAGCACCGAGTGCAGGGAGCCGCCCTTGCTCTCCGCCGCGCTCGGGGCCGTGGGCTCCAACAGAGGAGCTGCAGGCGAGGCCACGGAGCACACGGTGGACGGCGCCGGCGGCTGCTGGGACGCCGCGGGGACAGGGAGCGCGGGCGGCGGGAGCGCGGTCACGGGAGGGAGCGCAGGAGTGGGTTTGATAGGCACGGGTACGGCTGGCAGGCCCTGGCTTGCAGAGTGGCACAGGGCCTTCACCGGCACCCCGAATGCTCCGTACTCAGGGCCTACAGGGACCCCGGCCGCGGCAGCAGCAGCGGCGGCCGCGGCCACCGAGTCCATGACGCCCACGTGCGGCCACACAGAGCCGACGACGTTGCCGAGCTGGCCTGGCACCGGGTAGCCCAGGTGGTGCATGACGGACGCCAAGGGCAGCCCGCCGGCCTGCAGGACGCCCTTGTAGTCCCGGCCAATGATGTTCTCGATGGCGAAAGGGTGCTTGAAGCCAGACGTGGAGGCGGCGGCGGCGGCGGCGGCGGCCGAGCCCAGTCCGTAGGGGGGGAACTGGGACAGGCGTCCCACGCTGCCCACGGCCGCCGCCGCAGCGGCC